TTTCTTAATAAATTTTACTGAGATATTATATTCACAGTTGTTTACTTTTCCATGAAGAGTTTAATTCTAAGAGAAATTACATTTGCCTAGAAAATCTTAAAGATGAAAACATACGAAACGAATTATCATCGGAAGTTAATAGATGTGTACAAATTATACAAGGTAATGAATCTGATGTCCACAAACAGTAGTTGGAATCAAGCAGTCACGACGATAAAAGAGGTTACCAAAGAAAAATTGGGTCTACAGCAGAGGCGAGGCGTCGAATGGTTCAGTGTATTCACTGAACACCTTAACAAAGCTTCCTTTTTAGATTTTTTTTTATTAGGTAAATAATCTCGCTATATTGCTACTTAACATTTTTTATAATAGCTTTTCCAAACAGATTAACATAAACACAAAACGTAGAATACAAACAAAATCACACATATGTTAGATACACCCAACATTGCTTATAATTAATAAAAGAGAAAACACATTCCTCTTGAAATATACTAAGGTGCAGAATAAAAACTGCACCGCGTTGTTTACAAAGCATGTAAATGAAATAACATTCACATTGGGACTATGTTCAATATTGAATACACAACACAAAACATACAAACAAATATATGTACGTAAAATAATCTTAACTCTTAAATTAATACGTGCAAGCAGTTCAATAAAAAAAGTGCACTTCCAATGTTATGCAAAGTAAATACAAAAGAGAAAAGAAATGACTGAGCGAAAATCGCTTTACATTTGACGAGTCACGGTTGCTGTTTTATATGGGGAAATGGTTCAGTATAAAAACTGAACCGGGCATTGTAAATACAAAGTAAAAGAGTAAATGAATGCATGAGAGTTTCTTACTCTTATATAGAGGTTGGAAATTAATCAAAACAAAGTCATTATTGCAATTTGATACTAGCAAATGGTAAAAGTAAAGAAAGAGATTAAAGAAATTTGAAGTGAAAAATAATATTTAGAAATGGATAAATGTGTGATTAAAGATTTGATTCAATGTCTTTTTTTAAACGATCTTCTGAAAAAAAGATTTTAATTCATAAAATGAATAAACCAACTCCAGATATAAAGAATTTGATACCTGTTGTAAAAATGTCGAAATCTATGGTAAGTCGTCGTTTTCCTACAGTTACAGCTTTATGGTAAATAAAAACCAGTGGATCACAGGCTGCGAACATTTAAATAAATTGTTTTATTGGTCTTGTACGCTATTTGCTTGTGGAAAGGACAATACTTAGAAGTAGGGGGAATACGTTATAGTTGGAATTCTGTTTTGATTAAATTGTGAACACCTTGCCAAAAAGCTGACGCCTCGCTACTGGTGTACAGAAATATAAACCCAAAAACCCGTGGATGACTGAAGACATATTTGATCTAATGAATCAAAGAAGAAGGGTTAGGAATAAAAACCGACACGACTACAATCGCTTGCATAGTATTATAAAAACTAATATACGGCAGGCTAAAATATCATGGTTGAATAACGAATGTTGTGAGATAGAAAAACTCCAAAGAGCTCATGATGATTTTAATGTTCATAACCAAAGCTGAGCAAATCAGAGATCTTTCAGGCAATAAAATTTTTAAAAAATAATAAGGCTGCTCAACCGGATAATCTCCCTGCGGAAATAATAAAATTGTTTGAAGACGAAAGTATCGAATATTTAGAAAAGATACTTAATAATACATACAACACTGGTATATACCCAGATGACTGGCTGCAATCGACGTTTATAGCGATACCCAAAAGGAAAACTGCCAGAAAATGTAATGAGTTCCGCTTAATAAGCCTAATGAATCATAGTCTCAAATTATTTCTTAAAATACTACATGCAAGAATATACAAAAAATGTGAAACGGTAATGGGTCGTACACAATTTGGATTTAGAGATGCTATGGGAACACAAGAAGCTAGATGTACAAAAAGATGTCTATATGTGTTTCATAGATTACGGGAAAGCATTTGATAATGTAAAACATCAAAAACTAATTGAAGTGCTCAGAAGTATGGACATTAACGAGAAAGATATTCAGAGTATTTCAAATCTGTATTGGAATCAGACGGCAAGCGTCCGTTTTGGTGACGTAATAACAGACCAAATACCAATAAAAAGAGGCGTGAGACAGGGGTGTATACTATCACCACTTCTATTTAATATATATGCAGAAAGAATATTTGACGAGGCTTTTCAAAACTGTAACGACAAAGGTATCAAATCAAACGGCCAATATATTAATAATATAAGATACGCTGATGATAATCCGTGTGGTGGCGGGATAAGAATACCACCTCAGTTTGTCTCTGCTTGTCGTAAAAGGCGACTAAAAGAGAAAATGCACAGGTTAAAGTAGAACTTCTACGATTCCTGGTAAGTCGTGAGGGCGCACAGGTCAAAGTAGCTTGCTACGATTCCTAATAAGACGACCCTTCTGCTAGCAGGTCGGCCCGGCATTTGCTCAGGCCCTGCTAAGTTGACCAGCCTTCGGGAAGTGCGACTATCTATCAGGTCAACCGTCAAGCGATAAGTACGGTCATGTCTCTGCTTATCGTTTGACGCAGATAGTCGGGCGGGGTGAAGGAAAACACCCTTTTAGTGAATGAGCAGTGAGAATGATTGTATGAATGTGTGAATAAATGGATTGTGTGTATTAGAAATAAAACCCCCCAAACTAAGGTGGAACAGCTACGCCTTTAGCTTGGCTGCTGGGGTAGAAGCAGTCTTAGTAGCGAACTCAGGATACCTGGCGACCTCCTGTTTTAAACAGCCTTACCTGTGCAATGTGAAGCTCTCCGCAGGTGGACATATCTCTCTTCGCAACTCGTGAGAATCAAAATTGATAAACAAATTTTAAATATACCAACTCAAGGCGAAGTGGTTGATGCTGATAAGGTGGACAATGAGGCCTCGCCAAGACAACGCATGACGGTCATGAGACCAACAAAATGGTGGACGAAGAAGCCCCGCAAGAGGCTGAGCCGTTAACCAAAACAGTTGGAAACATGACAAAGACTGATCTCGACTTGGCCGAGCGTATCCGTCTGAACAAGAGGGAGAAGCAGAAGCGAAGAAGAGAGAGGCAAAAGGCTGCAAAAGCCACAAGATCGGTTGAACAACTAGCCGATCGACTCAGTGGACTATCGCATGTGGAATCGTCGAATTATTGAAGCACAAATGGGTGCGTCAACAGCACACAGACAGTAAATACAGGTACTCCGCAAGTGGTCGTACTCTCTCCCCTCCTCTGGAATATAGTGGTGAATGAACTGCTACAAAAACTGAGGAGAGCGGGTTGCGAAACTATTGCATATGCGGATGACTTTGCATTAACAGTTACTGGAAAATATGTTACCCCCTTAAGAGATATTCTGAAGAATGGTTTTAATATCCTAAATAAATGGATACTAAATTGTGGCCTTGAGGTTAGCCCCAGCAAAACAGAAATCCACCCTATATTCAAGGTTCTACGAAACAATTTACTGAGAACGCAAAATTTTTAGGTATCGTTTTCGATAGAAAACTCAGCTGGAAAGAAAATATTTCAGAGCGCGCTAGGAAAGCAAACATTGCGCTGCTTTTATGTCAGAAAGCTATTGCTAAAAAGCGGGGATTACAACTACGTGTTGCTAAATGGCTATATACGGCTGCCATTAGATCAATACTTTTGTATGCCATAAGCGTGGATTCTTCTGATTTGCTTGTCATAATATTATATATTAAATATTAATTAAACGATTTTTAATCCAGGTGTCTTCTATTGTGAAACGTAAATGGTGATTGCTGTGTCAGGTGATCGTGTTGTGTTTGTGAATTAAATGAATGTGGTACTGTATTGCAATTTGTGAGTGATTACGCTTTGTAACGGGGATTTGTAACGCTAAATTTTTATGTGACAAGATTTTAGTCATTACCGATTAATGTACTGACTTCAAGTTGCCACTTCTTCCGTGTATTGTGTTAAATAACACTGATACAGTACGCCGTCCGAATGTATAAATAAAAAACTATGCTAACTAATTAAAAAAAACCCGCATATAGAGCTAGAATTTTTTGTCCAACAACTATTTTACAACCTACATATGTAAAAAGTCTGCCATACAGGAGATGAAAAAGCGGTTGTTATTACTTATAGATCAATTTTTGTAGAAACTTTTTGTTGGTATTTGCAAAAAAGCCACGAATATCGTATATCAGATAAAACGTTAGTTTCACAATGATCAAAAATGATTTCACGTACTCGAATGAAACATACTACCTATAATAGGGTAATGGAGTACTATGTCACTCAAGTGCACTCATAAAAAACTACATCTAAATGCGTATAAATGTTTTTCTGAAAAAATTTTTTTCTGGGATTGTTTCAGTAGTAAATTATATGCACAGTAAACAACAACAAGCAAATTTTTCCCGATTGTGACGTAATACTCATGAGTGATTTATAAATCATTTGCATCACTTTTCTGTCGAATGTCGGTGTTTATGAGTATCATATGAGCAGAGTATAAATCATTGTTAGTGCTGTCAGCTGTTTGTATGAATCAGGCGGTGTCATATATATAAAAAAAAGAGTCAGAATTCATATAAATGACACACAGTCAATGATTCGAGTGTTGAATACTCATTGCAGTTCTTTGCTATGAGCCATGAAATCTATTATACTATTTCTACAGAGAATCTTCTAAGCTAACCCAGACAATTTAAGGCTGCTTCGTTATCGTCAAATTCATCATGACCTGGTATTCTGACTAGTGTTACATTATATAGTACGTTAAAGCCAATTTAGATATGAGATTTACAGAGCTTCTTTACCAACTTGAGTTTATACTACACATGCTGCTCATTTGATACTACATCAATACGAAGAATCAATCATGATCTATCATAGAATCATAAATATCGAATTGAACTAACTTAAAATAATAAATTGTATAAATAATAATAATTAATTATTATAATTATTGAAAAAGAAACTACAAAAGAAAAAATTTTAGTTAAAAAATAGTTTTATTTGTTATAATATTACTTTTAGAAAAAAGGACGGAGAAATTACAATCAAACTTGTATAAAAGTCTCTACCAATTTACCAATTTAATAATTTTTGTTGTGTTCATACTTTATCTCAATTTACAAAATAGTGTAAAAAAATATTTATTTTTTATTCGTTTATGTGTATACTTATATACTATAAACTATTAATAGGGGAATATACAGCAAACTTGACATAGTTTCAAACACTTGTCATTGTTAAAAAAAAAATTAATATTGTATATAAAGACTTATTGATTTTTAAAATCTAAGGCAATTTGATTATTAAGACACTTACAATCATAGAAAAAGTGAAAACCTTTTTGTTTGAACTCGTCATATACATAATGAGTTGTTTAGTCTATAATAGCCAATAATTGTTAAAGCTTTGTCTACTTCTGCTGATTTGTACATTTAAAAGTTTTGTTTGATTCTTTCTATACGATTTACAAATTACTGTCAACTTAAAAATACTACAAACAATTGTTGAACATTTGGAAATAAATGAATGCGTATATATATAAATACAAAAAATGCATATGCAAGCCACGCAAACGGTTAACAAGTAATATTAAATGAGATTTCTTACGCATAATGCACTTATTATTCCTATATGCTCATCAGAAGAGCATCATTCATTAAAATTAAGCACTAATATTATACTAAATAGTAAATAAAAATATATTCTGCATATTCGCATTGCAATACATAATTGACCAGACAAAATGGACGGAATTATATTTAGTTCGTATCGTATCGTTATAAGCAAAAGTATAATAAATTAAATTTAAAATTTAACTCCATAAGAAACATTTACAAATGTTTTCTAAAACAATGTTATCTTTGCATTTTAACAGTCACTGTAAGCCAAATTATTGAATTTTATGAGATTTTTTTATAGAATTTCCTTATACTATCGTGTGTAGAACATGCAAAAATATTGACATGCGAGCTCTTAATAAATAAATGAATACACTAAACAACACTAATGTTACTGACATCGACGCACGCCAGCTTATATTATATATTGAACAATAAGGACATTGGGAACTTCCACATACTTCACATATATTCAACAAATAAGTGGGCAGAGCATCGAAAATAGATTCGTTAAAACGTTCTGCAAATTGTCATAAAAAAATATCACAGATTAGTAATAAGAATATTGAATTAGAAAAAAATTTTCGCGTTTTACTAACCTGGTGCATAGTAATCGTAAACTCGGATGGGCAAATAGCGTGACATATTTGCAACTGGATACCAACGCTCAATTGTGAAATTTACACAAACATCCTCTTGATCAAGCTAGAAAAAAATATAGGTAGATTAGTAAACAAAAGGATTAGTAAATTAGTAGATTAGTAGATTAGTAAACAAAACGCTTTACATTTGACGAGAGGATCATTCCACTAAACTGAACCAAAAGTTTATACTAAGCGTGCAAATACAATCAAAGTCACGGTTGCCGTTTTATATGGGCAAATGGTTCAGTATAAAAACTGAACCGGGCATTGTAAATACAAAGTAAAAGAGTAAATGAATGCATGAGAGTTTCTTACTCTTATATAGAGGTTGGAAATTAATCAAAACAAAGTCATTATTGCAATTTGATACTAGCAAATGGTAAAAGTAAAGAAAGAGATTAAAGAAATTTGAAGTGAAAAATAATATTTAGAAATGGATAAATGTGTGATTAAAGATTTGATTCAATGTCTTTTTTTAAACGATCTTCTGAAAAAAAGATTTTAATTCATAAAATGAATAAACCAACTCCAGATATAAAGAATTTGATACCTGTTGTAAAAATGTCGAAATCTATGGTAAGTCGTCGTTTTCCTACAGTTACAGCTTTATGGTAAATAAAAACCAGTGGATCACAGGCTGCGAACATTTAAATAAATTGTTTTATTGGTCTTGTACGCTATTTGCTTGTGGAAAGGACAATACTTAGAAGTAGGGGGAATACGTTATAGTTGGAATTCTGTTTTGATTAAATTGTGAACACCTTGCCAAAAAGCTGACGCCTCGCTACTGGTGTACAGAAATATAAACCCAAAAACCCGTGGATGACTGAAGACATATTTGATCTAATGAATCAAAGAAGAAGGGTTAGGAATAAAAACCGACACGACTACAATCGCTTGCATAGTATTATAAAAACTAATATACGGCAGGCTAAAATATCATGGTTGAATAACGAATGTTGTGAGATAGAAAAACTCCAAAGAGCTCATGATGATTTTAATGTTCATAACCAAAGCTGAGCAAATCAGAGATCTTTCAGGCAATAAAATTTTTAAAAAATAATAAGGCTGCTCAACCGGATAATCTCCCTGCGGAAATAATAAAATTGTTTGAAGACGAAAGTATCGAATATTTAGAAAAGATACTTAATAATACATACAACACTGGTATATACCCAGATGACTGGCTGCAATCGACGTTTATAGCGATACCCAAAAGGAAAACTGCCAGAAAATGTAATGAGTTCCGCTTAATAAGCCTAATGAATCATAGTCTCAAATTATTTCTTAAAATACTACATGCAAGAATATACAAAAAATGTGAAACGGTAATGGGTCGTACACAATTTGGATTTAGAGATGCTATGGGAACACAAGAAGCTAGATGTACAAAAAGATGTCTATATGTGTTTCATAGATTACGGGAAAGCATTTGATAATGTAAAACATCAAAAACTAATTGAAGTGCTCAGAAGTATGGACATTAACGAGAAAGATATTCAGAGTATTTCAAATCTGTATTGGAATCAGACGGCAAGCGTCCGTTTTGGTGACGTAATAACAGACCAAATACCAATAAAAAGAGGCGTGAGACAGGGGTGTATACTATCACCACTTCTATTTAATATATATGCAGAAAGAATATTTGACGAGGCTTTTCAAAACTGTAACGACAAAGGTATCAAATCAAACGGCCAATATATTAATAATATAAGATACGCTGATGATAATCCGTGTGGTGGCGGGATAAGAATACCACCTCAGTTTGTCTCTGCTTGTCGTAAAAGGCGACTAAAAGAGAAAATGCACAGGTTAAAGTAGAACTTCTACGATTCCTGGTAAGTCGTGAGGGCGCACAGGTCAAAGTAGCTTGCTACGATTCCTAATAAGACGACCCTTCTGCTAGCAGGTCGGCCCGGCATTTGCTCAGGCCCTGCTAAGTTGACCAGCCTTCGGGAAGTGCGACTATCTATCAGGTCAACCGTCAAGCGATAAGTACGGTCATGTCTCTGCTTATCGTTTGACGCAGATAGTCGGGCGGGGTGAAGGAAAACACCCTTTTAGTGAATGAGCAGTGAGAATGATTGTATGAATGTGTGAATAAATGGATTGTGTGTATTAGAAATAAAACCCCCCAAACTAAGGTGGAACAGCTACGCCTTTAGCTTGGCTGCTGGGGTAGAAGCAGTCTTAGTAGCGAACTCAGGATACCTGGCGACCTCCTGTTTTAAACAGCCTTACCTGTGCAATGTGAAGCTCTCCGCAGGTGGACATATCTCTCTTCGCAACTCGTGAGAATCAAAATTGATAAACAAATTTTAAATATACCAACTCAAGGCGAAGTGGTTGATGCTGATAAGGTGGACAATGAGGCCTCGCCAAGACAACGCATGACGGTCATGAGACCAACAAAATGGTGGACGAAGAAGCCCCGCAAGAGGCTGAGCCGTTAACCAAAACAGTTGGAAACATGACAAAGACTGATCTCGACTTGGCCGAGCGTATCCGTCTGAACAAGAGGGAGAAGCAGAAGCGAAGAAGAGAGAGGCAAAAGGCTGCAAAAGCCACAAGATCGGTTGAACAACTAGCCGATCGACTCAGTGGACTATCGCATGTGGAATCGTCGAATTATTGAAGCACAAATGGGTGCGTCAACAGCACACAGACAGTAAATACAGGTACTCCGCAAGTGGTCGTACTCTCTCCCCTCCTCTGGAATATAGTGGTGAATGAACTGCTACAAAAACTGAGGAGAGCGGGTTGCGAAACTATTGCATATGCGGATGACTTTGCATTAACAGTTACTGGAAAATATGTTACCCCCTTAAGAGATATTCTGAAGAATGGTTTTAATATCCTAAATAAATGGATACTAAATTGTGGCCTTGAGGTTAGCCCCAGCAAAACAGAAATCCACCCTATATTCAAGGTTCTACGAAACAATTTACTGAGAACGCAAAATTTTTAGGTATCGTTTTCGATAGAAAACTCAGCTGGAAAGAAAATATTTCAGAGCGCGCTAGGAAAGCAAACATTGCGCTGCTTTTATGTCAGAAAGCTATTGCTAAAAAGCGGGGATTACAACTACGTGTTGCTAAATGGCTATATACGGCTGCCATTAGATCAATACTTTTGTATGCCATAAGCGTGGATTCTTCTGATTTGCTTGTCATAATATTATATATTAAATATTAATTAAACGATTTTTAATCCAGGTGTCTTCTATTGTGAAACGTAAATGGTGATTGCTGTGTCAGGTGATCGTGTTGTGTTTGTGAATTAAATGAATGTGGTACTGTATTGCAATTTGTGAGTGATTACGCTTTGTAACGGGGATTTGTAACGCTAAATTTTTATGTGACAAGATTTTAGTCATTACCGATTAATGTACTGACTTCAAGTTGCCACTTCTTCCGTGTATTGTGTTAAATAACACTGATACAGTACGCCGTCCGAATGTATAAATAAAAAACTATGCTAACTAATTAAAAAAAACCCGCATATAGAGCTAGAATTTTTTGTCCAACAACTATTTTACAACCTACATATGTAAAAAGTCTGCCATACAGGAGATGAAAAAGCGGTTGTTATTACTTATAGATCAATTTTTGTAGAAACTTTTTGTTGGTATTTGCAAAAAAGCCACGAATATCGTATATCAGATAAAACGTTAGTTTCACAATGATCAAAAATGATTTCACGTACTCGAATGAAACATACTACCTATAATAGGGTAATGGAGTACTATGTCACTCAAGTGCACTCATAAAAAACTACATCTAAATGCGTATAAATGTTTTTCTGAAAAAATTTTTTTCTGGGATTGTTTCAGTAGTAAATTATATGCACAGTAAACAACAACAAGCAAATTTTTCCCGATTGTGACGTAATACTCATGAGTGATTTATAAATCATTTGCATCACTTTTCTGTCGAATGTCGGTGTTTATGAGTATCATATGAGCAGAGTATAAATCATTGTTAGTGCTGTCAGCTGTTTGTATGAATCAGGCGGTGTCATATATATAAAAAAAAGAGTCAGAATTCATATAAATGACACACAGTCAATGATTCGAGTGTTGAATACTCATTGCAGTTCTTTGCTATGAGCCATGAAATCTATTATACTATTTCTACAGAGAATCTTCTAAGCTAACCCAGACAATTTAAGGCTGCTTCGTTATCGTCAAATTCATCATGACCTGGTATTCTGACTAGTGTTACATTATATAGTACGTTAAAGCCAATTTAGATATGAGATTTACAGAGCTTCTTTACCAACTTGAGTTTATACTACACATGCTGCTCATTTGATACTACATCAATACGAAGAATCAATCATGATCTATCATAGAATCATAAATATCGAATTGAACTAACTTAAAATAATAAATTGTATAAATAATAATAATTAATTATTATAATTATTGAAAAAGAAACTACAAAAGAAAAAATTTTAGTTAAAAAATAGTTTTATTTGTTATAATATTACTTTTAGAAAAAAGGACGGAGAAATTACAATCAAACTTGTATAAAAGTCTCTACCAATTTACCAATTTAATAATTTTTGTTGTGTTCATACTTTATCTCAATTTACAAAATAGTGTAAAAAAATATTTATTTTTTATTCGTTTATGTGTATACTTATATACTATAAACTATTAATAGGGGAATATACAGCAAACTTGACATAGTTTCAAACACTTGTCATTGTTAAAAAAAAAATTAATATTGTATATAAAGACTTATTGATTTTTAAAATCTAAGGCAATTTGATTATTAAGACACTTACAATCATAGAAAAAGTGAAAACCTTTTTGTTTGAACTCGTCATATACATAATGAGTTGTTTAGTCTATAATAGCCAATAATTGTTAAAGCTTTGTCTACTTCTGCTGATTTGTACATTTAAAAGTTTTGTTTGATTCTTTCTATACGATTTACAAATTACTGTCAACTTAAAAATACTACAAACAATTGTTGAACATTTGGAAATAAATGAATGCGTATATATATAAATACAAAAAATGCATATGCAAGCCACGCAAACGGTTAACAAGTAATATTA